ACAAAGAAGGGAAGGTTGACGTTGAAGGAAACTTCTAAATACACAATAGGCAAGGTCAGCACAGCCACATCCCTAAACCTGGTACAATCTCCAATATCAACCGGAAGGTTTAGGAATATATTGGCGGATTTTCCAAACCTGGCGTCATCCAACGCCCAGACCTCTCACGTAAGTCCTTAGGTGACGCTTAGCATAAAAACACATGGCCTTCCTGTATTCGCAAAACCCAGGAGACTGACGCCGAATAAACTGAAAATCGCTAGGGCTGAATCTGACTATATGCTTCAGCTAGGCAGCATTCATCCTTCTAAGAGTCAGTGGGCTTCACCATTACATATGGGTCCAAGAAAAATCAGACTGGCAACCGTGTAGTGATTATAGAGCGTTAAACAAACGAACTATTCCTGATAGGTACCCAGTTCCTCATATTCGGGACTTCACTGTCTTGCAGGTGCCACTATATTCACTAAAATAGACCTAGTCCGCGCATATCACAATATTCCGGTGGCCGAAGAAGACGTTCCAAAAACAGCCATCATCGCCCCATTTGGTTTATACGAATTTGTGCGGATGCCTTTTGGCCTTCGGAATGCTGCACAAACCTTCCAGCGGTATATGGACGATCTTCTATGGGACTTACCATTTGCCAAAGCATAGATTGATGACCTACTGATTGCCAGCCCGGACATGGACTCACACGAGAGTCACATACGGGCGGTCTTACAAAAATTAAACGACAGTGGCATGGCGATAAATCAGAGCAAGTGTGTTTTCGGAGTTGAGAACATTCAATTCTTAGGACACATGATTAATACAGATGGAATATCACCGTTTCCAAAAGAGGTGGAGGCTATCAGCCACCTTTATAACGCAAATAAGTTTTCTTGGTCTAATTAATTTTTATCGTCGATTCATACCACATTGTGCGCAGCACATGCAACCCCTAACCGACGCCTTAAGGGGAAATCCTAAGGACTTTAAGCTCTCTACAGAAGCTATTGAGGCTGTCAACAAATTGAAAATGGCTTTGACAAAGGCTACAACCCTAAAATACCCTGATGTGAGTGTACCATTAGCACTGTTGGTCGATGCTTCCGACAAGGCTGTGGGAGCAGCACTCAACCAGTTTGTAGACAATCAATGGCAGCCAGTGGCATTCTTTTCAAAACGCCTTTCCCCACCCGAAACTCGGTATTCAACGTTTGGCCGAGAACTGCTAGCGATCTTTCTAGCAATTAAGCACTTCCGTCACATGGTGGGAGGTAGGACATTTACGGATCATAAGCCTTTAACTTATGCGCTAAATGCAAAATCTGACAAGTACTCACCACGTGAAATTCGTCACCTTGATTTTATATCGCAATTTGCTAGCGATATAAGGCATGTTAAACGTGCACAAAATTGCGTGGCTGACGCTCTGTCTCGAATTAACGTAAGCACTATTCATCAATCTATAAATTTCAAAACTTTAGCAGCAGACCAAGAAACAGATAGGGAATTGAGAAATTTACTTTCCAGTAGTAGTTGTAGCCTAAAACTTAAGCAGCTACCTTCACCCATAGGTATACATGAACAAAAGCCGAAACTTTGCATTCAAAAAGGCTTCGTGAAACATTTTTATCCACCTTGACCTTGATAATTCATTTTGGTTGCTTTGTCAACTTCATTTCACTTCACTCTCTTATACTTCTCTTTTATTATTATCATCATCATTGTCACCAATTTTCACTTCACTGGCAGTATTTGACCTATATTTCACTATTTAGCATCAGTTCGTTCCTTATTCATTCATCCGTTTTGCATGTTTCAGTTAAACTATCATCGTTTTACAATTCTTTGACAGCGCTTGTCTCTTATCTCACCACTTGTTCGACAATTTATTTCCGTATTCAATGACCCATTTTCTATTTCTTTCACTTCTTCCGCAAATACCACCACCTACCCTAATTTTACATTTTGCATATTGACTGAGCAAGGTTATGGTGTAATTTTCTTTCATCTTACCGATTATCAATACAACTGTACAGCTTGATATAATGAAGTCATTGAAAAGAAGTAGTTCTCCGCTGATACATATTCTGTTCTTATTCATGAAAGTGATTACTTTGTTTGAAAATGATCGTCAAAATCTACAAGTAAACGCGTTCCCCATTACTACCTTGCTACTTTCTTTTTACTTCTAGACCGACTGACTGACTGACTGGAGGGTTTACACCTAACTGTGTAAGCTTACTTTGAAGAGAACAGTCGGGTTTATTCAGTTGAGATATGGACAATGCGACTGAAGTGACTTATTCGCTGCTTTGAGTTCACCAGCTAGATATGTAAACCTTAATTCCGCTAAACAGAAAAACTTGAATTATCATATTCACTTACTAAACAACACTGTACAATCAGAACTCTGAAGGTGTCTCCGTGGCGAACTTTTCAAGGTTATTATAACCAAGGGAGTCGATCCATCAAGTAGACAATCAGCTGAGATAATTCATCATTTATGCATATACAACCAAGTATAAGCTTGAAATCTACACACAAGTTGGCGAGATGATTAGCCTCATCGGTGTAACAACTTGGCTGTTGATTGGATGTGGTCTAACCCGTTTGTATGTTATCATACGTGGGTGAGCGGAACTGTACACCTAAAAATACCAACCTAATAACTGAGACCGGTGAAGTGATGGGTTTAAAATACACTAACGACTTAGCAAGCACATAGTATTTTTGTTGACACCTGTGCATAGCCCAATATCAACAATGGCTATGAATACATAACCGAAAGAAAAACATAGTATCGTGAGCCGAATTGAAGGGTGACTGATATCCGTTTTGAATCGTGTTGCTATTCAACAGACTTACATCGATATCATTTTTGTAAGCAAGAAGATCTAAAAAGATTCCCTTCGAGAAATACCATTGATATTCAATTATAAACCACGTCACTACTTTCGTATGAATACTCAGTTCTATAAACTGCAAATTAATTTGGGATTGTGCCTTATAAGTGTAGAAACGGATAACATGACCAAACAAAGGTGAATGAAGATTATGACCGAATTGAGAAACATAACTCATCGTATCACTTGAAGTAGCTGATGGTTGAAATCCTATTGTCATTGGAAACCAGAGTTTGTTGTGCTAGACGACTTTGCACTGAAAAGAAGGTAAGGACACGAATGTGCTTCACTAACTGTTATTCACCTGCTCGTCTTGAGTAAGGTGCACTGACTGTATTCATCTCCCGTTTTCTAAACGCGTTATCGAGCATATATCAACTTGGCTATGCATAGGAGAGAGGAGTGCACCTCACAGCTCTGTTTAAGGTCATTTCATTGGTTATGATCACTCGGTAAACGCAGAAACCAAGTTCAGCACCCTCTACATAGAACGTGAATTCCTTGACACAGGTGTATGACTGAAGTTTCTTCGACCTGCAAAGACCATGGCACTGATCATTTTCAAGACTTAACTTAGGATTGAAATAAGTTTCCCCAATCAATCCAATTGTAATGGATCTGATTCTCACTTAAACAGTTCAATCTGGATTTATGCAAAACGATTGTGATATGAAAGGTTGCCTAAAATTTCTTTAACCTTTCAGAATAATTTCGATATTTTCACAACAGACCGTTGGAGCTAATTTTACAGAGAGATGTAGGTAGGGTAGGGGTGTTTTCAAAGTTATTCCATTCTAGTGGTAAGGATGGAAACCGTTTGGTGTTCATTTCCCCCCACCTTATTTCAACTTGAAATATGACTCATGCATTGTAGTCTGAGTTACTGATTTTATTGAAGTAATTGGTTTGCAAACCCAGTGGAATTTTGTTCATGATTAGGAATAAGAAGCTGTTCTATGTGTTTGATGTTCTGTGGAACAATTTAATGCTGCATTTTTTGAGTCCCTTCCTGATGTCAATAGAGGTGTCTGACTTATAATGAGATGAAATTTGTTGTGAATCATATTTGACGAGTACAATAACGATCTAATTTAGTTTTATTTTTGGCTTTGCCCAAATTAGTTCCTCCTTTTTTTATATTTTCATCTATTCTGAGAGTGTTTGCTTTTCTTTAGAGATGGAATTTAGGGAGACTATCACTCACTGGGATCCAGGCACATCCAGCTGACTGATCTGAAATATGACGAAATCTGTATCCTGCAACACGATGGTAGCCACCACCAAGCGAATGACATGAATATGATATCTGAGTTTATATCCCGGCTTCTGATCAAAGTGTCCAAATGACGAGAAAGACTTATCATTTCGGCTAGTTAAAATAACCAGTGTGAATCAACAAGTATCAATAAGCGGAATCTGAGTGTTTATTGAAATGTGCTGCCTTCTTGTTCATGCCTCATTGTATTCTAACCACACTTCACTTTACTTCAATATCATTCATGGTCAATTTGATCATTAGCATGCAAACATACTTAAATTCTCAAAGTAAAAAATGTTTATGATACATGAAGAATTCTGTCTAAATTTTGTCTGCTCATATCCCCATTGTCCTGTTGGTTTTGACTTAACTCCACAGTTTAGAATGGACTTTCAAAATATTTCCCTGAGAAAAATTTCAATCACTTCGATTCGACCGATATTCAAAGATGAAACAATCTTATTTCTCACATTGGCAATTATACTACATATATTCTCATCGACGTTTAACTGTCTAGCTTAAGTAATAAGCTATCTGAATCGATTCACTATCTTTCAATGCAAAATTATTGGTCATTAGCGCATCAACTTAGTTGAGCTTTCAATATGTAACTGTAATTAGCTCATTATTCACTTTTTAGTTATACCTGAGTACTTTGACTAACCCACCTTGAGACTTACGTAGCCTTAGCAAATGCAGCTAGAATTACCATAATAATCTATTGACTATGTAATAATGTCACTGCATTCACATTTTTTTCTCCTCTTTCTTATTATCTTGACAAGACAGATTATCCCAGTTTAAAGTCCATCAAACATCTAACACAGTCAATGTTAGTATAAACTTTTCAGAAGGAAATGAGAATTTTATTATTAACTTTTACAGAAAAACAGATTACACAACTTAAACATTTTTGTTATCGTCTGTTAATTTAACAATTTCATTACTTAGTGGAACGAATTTCATGATATCAACTAATATTCATATTCTCCCTAAAAAATTGGAAAGAAATGAAAAGTTTATTTATCTGCAAATGTAAGGAGGCAAGCGAACTACTATGCAGCAATCTGAGTGTTTTTCAACAGCACAACGAATATATTAGTTGGGGATATATTTTGTCTGCCTTATTGACGCACAATTCTTGAAGTCCAGTCTAACGCATTTATCCAAGAGAATTCATTCTTGGAATACGACTTCACCTCTCTGTAAACCGTTTTCACCAGTCTGTTAATCATTACTTCTTTCCTGCTGGAGAGAGAAAGGATGTGATCACCACTACGAAAGATAACCTAAATCTATGAGAACACCAATGCCCAACCTAACCGATGTCAGTTGATTATCTCGACAAACCATTGACAGACTACTTGACAAGGAAGGTTCTTCATCAGAAAATAAATGTCAGAAAATACAAATTGTTCGTATCATCAACATTTTTTCAGATAATTGGACGTCATACTGATCTTCTTGCAGCAAATATTCGTGAGTCCAAGTGTGATGAAAGCCTCATCAGCTGAAGGAAGGAAATTCCCTCAACACTGGTGAGGGTCGTACCCAACACACTTACACAATAACCTTAATGTCCTTCAACGCATAGTGATATATAAGCAGCCTATTCTGCAGTAAAAATCAATACAGATGTCAGCTTTAATGCAAAGCATACTCATCGGTGAAGTCTTATCAGTGAAAACCATAAGTTATATTTCGAATTCATGGCTGCAGAAATGTAAAATTATTGTCTCCTTTTATCAGCTGTAATGAAAATGCAATGAATGGAAGTACTCTTCATCCAACACGTCTGTGACGAGAATGCACCAATGTCATGGTAACATATTGAACAAAGAAAGAAAGAACATGCAGCACCACTTTAATCGTTCTGATTGTTGTAAATCTAAAATAACTGTTCTTCAATGTCTGGAACCAGAAAGTTGGTATGGCTTTTTCCACAGAGAAATTCGTTGATCCGATTATCACAAACGCATTCACAACATGCTACCATCTCCTTTTGCTTCGTAATAAACATTTGTAGCATCTGGTCATACAGAGTGAGAATGAAAACCACACATCGGTCAGTTCATGACTTCAGACCTCGATCTGATTTTGACAAGAACAATAAGCATCCGTCAAATCCAGCGTCAAATTTGTCAGTTGTTTCAACACACAAATGAATATTCTTCCCAGAGCACACCGTACTCCTTTTTCACACGTCATTGAAGTCACTTTATCACATGTTTATCTATACAGATTGACTTAGAGAACAGAAGTAAGAGTGTGAGTTATTAAAAAATGTAAGCTGACACCAAGAAGAGTCAGTCTATCATTTGCACAGATATTATTTCAATGTTGATTTTCATTTTGAACAAATAAGTAACTCACTGTGAGTTTATACAACATGGATTCATACGCATTTTGTATTACTGGAATTACAAAATAGATGATGAATAGTTAGGTTTGCCTATTGGATGATACTCGTTTGATTTGCTCTTTGAAAGTTTACGGACACAAACACTGATGTTAACAGGAAAATGAACGGGTGAAATTCAACTCAAATACTTTATTCAAGAGTACACGAACATTCATTTTAGAAGTGTCTGTGCATTTTGCAAACTCCAGTCAGTGATATAGTCTGCAGTATTATCTTACCCCAATATTTCTGAATAATGGAATGAACTTCAAATATCGAAGTTATCTCTCTATTCAACTTAGCGGCTTCTACAAAAGAGAAAATTGGATCAACAATTGACACCGTATATTCAATATTTTACACAACTTGAAACTGCATAAAAGATGATATGCGTATCAGATTTATGTTCATGAGTCTACTGTAGCCTATTTTTGTTTTACATACTGACTTTATGTCGATAAATATGTTTCATGTCAAAGGAAATAATTTTATAATTTTCGTTTCACAAACCACTATTATTAGAAACCGAAATATATGCTTTCACTCACCAGCTGGGTTTTCTCTGGTGAAATCGGCTAAACAGTCTTCTAGAGGATCATTATTTTCTTCTGAAAGTCAACAAAGCACACCTTACTAAATTGAACCAATGACGGAATATGAAATATGGCAAATTATTTTACTCCCAGTGTACTTAGAAGGATACCGCCTTCACCCATCCAAAAGTTTAAGTAATGGTTTATGAACACAACAAACACGATTGTTTATTACCTGTGTAATAACGCACTTCTTCTTTGAGCCATGAAAGAGAGGCAGCGTTTGGTTGGAAAAGATCACCTGATGAAGTTAAACCAAGTGTTGTGAGTTGAAAGTATCATGGAACGTGTTGAACTGAATATTTTAAATACTCAAAAAGTGTCTCAACAGCGTTAGATATTGCTAATGAGTTTGAAAAAATTATCAGAATGTTAACAGATGAATGTTGAAGACGATATTGAAAGCATTGGCACATATGTATTATATATGAAAAGATACGTTCGACTATGTAAGCATTGTATATATCCAAATCCATACCATATCTTTCCTTCAGTTCTTCAAGTTTTCTCACAAGCTCTAAAGTATATTTCGGTTCGGAATTTTTCAAAACAAATAAGAAATATACTAGTCATTTGGAAGTGGAATTCAAGATGAGATGAATAAACATTCTTGAAATCTGTCTACCAAAAGCTAAATACTAACATCTACTGGAAGATATCACTGTGATAAAATACTTCATGAACGTGTCGATGCCGAGTTCTGCTAATCTATGAAACAATTACAGTCAGTTCACTATATTCAAGAGTTTCTTTTCGGTGTTTAACGCATCGGAAATCACTCAATGAGTCGATCTGCAGACTTCAGACTGCTCTTATAAACAGCAACTCCGTTTGATAGGATACATAGACAAAGAAAATGTTGATTGACAGTCTTTCTGCTGTGTTTATATTTCGTGACTTGACAAGCTGACAGGGCAATAGGATTTATCATTGCAACCAGAGCATTTAAGTATGTTAAGGTGTGATTTGAGTGACCTCTATATTTCAGTTACAGTTGTAAACAATACTTGACAGTTATCCTTAATGGAGATGCATTTTTTTGAGTTCCAGTAATTCAGTCTACGTACTTAAGGATTTTGTCAGATGCATCCTGATTTTCATCTGTGTCCCGTAGAAATGACACTTCTTGTATGTTTTTATTTATTTCCAACTTCATCTTCTTTCAAATGATTTAAATAGGTATTGTTACAAACTACTAAGTCTGTTTAGCATTATTGGATAAGAACATCTTTTTCCAAAAGTTCTAATGACAGCGTTTCGATACATACACTACTGAATGTCATCTAGAATTCAATTGCTTGTAAAACAAAGATAAGAATGTTGCATGTTGTTCTTTGTTCCGTAGTTGATGCTCAAATCACCGCTAGATTTGAAATAACCAGAAATGTTCTTTGAAACTCAGCAATATCTTAGATGTGTTTATGACATCTTACAACGAACAGGAGCATTACTGCTTCCATTAATACTTGAACTACATAGATTATATACGTGAACGATTATTTAAATAATTCATGGAAAAGTTATTGAGTTTATTATAGTAATCCACTAGCCTGGGTACATCATCCTTGCTTTGTACTTCTCTAAGTTTCTGTGTAAACATGTTATCCCATGAAACATAACAATAGGGTTTGCTACTTCTCTCAGGTGTGTTATATTCTTTAGAATTGGATGATTCTCACTCATTTCATCTGGAATATGAAAAAGCTTTGTTACTAGTATTCGCTGAATAGGTTGCAAGCAGGTTATGGTGAAATTTGAAATGATGAGCATTTTGGAGCATCAGAACGTTTTAAGGCAGCAGAATTCATGATATTTTGTAGTGTTAAACCACCTACATGTAAATAAATGTAATATCACCTCTCATTAAACTTCTACGTTCTACCGAACTTAGTATGTTCATTGTCGTAGTGAGCATGATGATTTATTACTCAGCAGTTCTCAAGAAAAGAGCGAATGTAATAGCTTCGAACATTTAGCAGACAAAAATGTAGCTATATGTTTTCTTAGTGAAGCCTTAAAGGAAGCACTCATTCAGTGACTGTTTTGCAAGTTATCGTCGTCCCTTTTTAACACCCTCACCTGAATGTTTATAATTTTGATCATTATAATCGAGTAGCATAATGTAGGTTCAATATCAAATGATCGATGAATCAGACAAAGAATAAAATCGCATATATACACCCTTATTAATGAATTTGGTGTAAATGATTGACATGATAAACAGCTAGTCATCAGAGAATGAATCTAGGGGAAGAGTGGTGTGAAAACATCGCCGGCTGGCCGCTGTAACATGCCAAAGATAAATTCGCTTGAAGTAATCTAGAGATAAAAGGACCGGTCACACAATGGCGTCCAAATGAGTAATATTAAAAAAAGGCGACAAATCAAATATATGTACCACAAGCAAACCAAGAAAAAATCAACACAAAAACACAAACAAAATAATTACCGAAAACAGAGGCAAAATTCCGTTGAAAAAGCAACAACACGACCAATTGAGAAGTATGCAAACCTCAGACAACAAGAAAAAGAAAGTGGACACGCATTGCATTAGCTATAAATTGAGTGAATGAATAAGAGAGTGAGTAGAAGTGTGAAGCCAATGAGACACGCTCAGCTGAAACCTACATATCGATATTTAGTGATTCATGCAATATTCTGGTGATTTTACTCAACGGGGGATTAACTCGTGTATCATTTCTGTTGTAGTTGGCTGAAAATCAATCTCCAGTTGTCGTGATACTCTTGTGTTCTCTCATCTGAATGCTTGAATCGTGCAGATTTCATCGTCATTATTCTAGACATAATCATCAGCACAGATTGCAGAAGAGAACTAAACACCACCAAGATTATACCCCTTCCCTTCAGATTGAAGTTGCCTCATCAACAAAGCTAACTCAGTGTCTCAGTCATATCTGTGTGAGCAAAGAATGTCTCAAATAACAATCTCTCATACTTCCTTCATCATATTGAGTAAATTACAATGATCATTTCAGATGGCAACGGTCCAGCTTATCAATACACATTTGACGTTCATACTGAACGTAGTCAAATACAACGAATACATGAGGACGACCTCCAGCTGATCAATACAAAAACCTCCTGATTCTAGTCATCTCTAAAGAATTCAAGGAAACTCACACAGTCCTCACTGAACCAATATAATTGTGCAATTTGTGTGTGTTTAACCATGAAAATGTTATTATCCGCATATATCAGAGATGCAGACATAAAAATTTCTTCTCACCTTGGAATTCGGTAATACCATCCGTGAGTTCACTAACTGTTTGTTCATTATCTGAAAACCATAGACAGCAGACAAGTTATAATGTTGTTAATGGGTTGATAATAAACATCACAGTGAGGAGTTGTGCACAAAGCAATCACCTAATTATCTGGATCGATGTACCTATTCACAGTTGGTAAGTGCATATCGAAGCTGACGGATGATACTTGAGACATGACTAGTAGCACACTGATCATAGTCATTACAGGACGCAGTTTGAATGGCTTCATGTTCACGCCTCACTCCTCAGTGAAGCATTAAAGCAAGTTGATGGAATTGAAATTCTCTGAAACTGTGCACAATGATGTGAATAGGTGGAGAAGCCGTGGCGTCTTTCACTCATTCAATAAACTTCCTTGAGTACACTGCTTTCTGCCCCATCATCATCATCATCATCATCATCATCATCATCATCATCATCATCCCACCAGCAGATCTGTAATCTCCTTCACTATATTAGTAAATGTCTTCAGAGACACACAGATATATTGAAAAGGTGTACAAAGACAACGAGATAAATTTCATCATTCGCAACTCGCCTGATGTCAAAGGAATTAACAAATACTTCGACTAGCCTATCGATCGGAATCACCACTCAGTCAGTGTTACATTATCCTGTCGAGGTTGGTTGGTCAACTGACGTTGAAAGTGAATGCCGTAATCGAATAAATCTGTCATACCATATATGACACAGTTGACGACTGTTGAATCTTGTTTCATTCACTTTGAAGAATTCCCACTTCCTGTTAAACTACTCCCACAATAACTATGCATCTCATGATTGATCGCGACGTTGAACACCTCTGTTCTCTCTCCTCTCACTTGTGAGATTGACATACAGCAGAGAGGAGAAACAACTGAATCAATCACATTCTGATTGAACATGCTCAGTATTGTTGTAAAGCAGCTGGTTAGTGAAAGGTCAGACAGAAGTGGATGTGTGTCGGATCGAATGACCGATCAAAATGAGAATATCTCGAAGTGGTGCTCAAAGTGGATTGTTCCACAAGTGTTGTTTCAAGACAAGAAGTATCATGCTGCTTGTCATCCTGTAAGAAATGACAATGAGATTATTGCACTCAACTCAGTCACTCCCCTCCAATTCAGAAAACGATGACCAGCAACCAGCAGTTTCAACAAGCTCCAAATCCCCAACCGATGACAGTCCCTTTCAAACATCAATGACAATGTGGCACTGATATCATTCATTGTATTATTCACTAGATGTCAATGTTCAAATGCATTTGGTTCAGGCGAAACCTCATAATGATTTCAAAAGTGAATCTTATTCATCCTGAACAAATTACAAATATTGCACAGAAATAGGAGGCAGGTTCAACCATCCATGGAATTATGAAAACCAGGGGAAAGCACATGCGTAATTCTCGCACATTCACGTTGAATTCAATGAAGACAATATGATTGAGTGGATCTCAGTTCACCTTCGAATAACTTACCAATTTTCGGTTCGTCACTTACTCCACCTTGAAACAAGGAATACAAGCATTCGGTTACAGTTATCCCACAAGCATCACACAAGCAATCACTAGCTAGTTCTTGTCAAAATATATCACATGTAATCACCTTGATAATCATATGCACAGGAGAGAAGAAGACAGGGGACAAGCACTGTCTTCACGACTTCTTCGAATTTCGAGATTTCTCAAATGCTAACAGTGATTTATCGACCGGTGATGTACTGACATAAATATCTATGTAAATTGACAACACCTCGAGAGCATCCTCCATTTCACTCTCCATACTCAGGTTAAATATCATCTCATCATGTAATTACTGGTTACGGCTATGTTTCAAACCGAACTGATTGTCAGTGAGGAATTGACAACGTCTAATTCATACGATCTCCATGCGATTATCATTTGTAGACTGTTACAAAGAGGAGAGAATGCGTGCAAATTTATGATGAAACGATGATCTGTCATGTGTGAAGCATATAAGTGAATGCAGAGAAGCGTGGACAATTCAAGAGTCCTAATCCAATTGTATTATACAGACATTGTGGTGAAAGGAAGGTGTGAGATTATGAGATTACAAGTGAATGTATCGGTGCATGGACACGACCTGTTTTCATTGTGCTCCAATCAAGCTGCACGCTCAGATAGATTGAAATTCAGTTGGCCATTGAATTCGATATGTAGGAATGATTGACACTGACACTGAAACCTGTGATCATTCAGTCTGTGCATGCAGCGTTTTATATTTGACGAAGGTGGTTTGGAAGCAAAGAAAACATGGTCTGCATATTGTTGACAACTAGGTGTGACTGGTGAATCAGCCCTAACTCAATCAGAACATGATGCGTGTATTGAGTGAAGTGAATGAACTGGAGAGCTGTTCTTCAACACAGTCAACAATGTCTAAAACAGTGAAGGGTGCATGCAATGGCATTCGGTAAATAAAACTTCCGAAGTAAGTTTACCTTGTGCTGAAGATATGCATATGGCCAGAAACGTGGTAGCCACACTGATATACAGGAGGCAAAGCTTCATGATTATGCATATGTCACAAGTTCTTTGATTTTATACAGTTGAAATAATAATTAACAACGGCTTCTTCAGCTACTGATTGGTAGATTTCAAAGGTTTTCTGCATCAGTTGATTGGTGATTCAAGCTCAAGTAAATTGGACTGTCTTCACTCAATCCACAGTCGACCAGACACGTTTTGAGTGAGTGAGGGAGTCTGCGTTGGTGACAGATTGAGAGAGGGATTGAATGATTGATTCATTGATTGATTGATTGATTTATTGATTGAGTGGTGGAGTGAGTGAGTGAGTGAGTGAGTGAGTGAGTGAGTGAGTGAGAGTGTGAAGCCAATGAGACACGCTCAGCTGAAACCTACATATCGATATTTAGTGATGTATGCTATATTCTGGTGATTTTACTCAACGGGGGATTAACTCGTGTATCATTTCTGTTGTAGTTGGCTGAAAATCAATCTCCAGTTGTCGTGATACTCTTGTGTTCTCTCATCTGAATGCTTGAATCGTGCAGATTTTATCGTCATTATTCTAGACATAATGAAACCTCACCTAGTTGACTAGTTCACTTGGTACTAGGCGGTCCTAAGCTCAGGTAAATCGGGACGGTTGGGCATAGGGTTAGCAACCTCCCGCTTCAAAAGCATTCCAATCGCTAGAGAAACTTCAACGCACAGAGAAATGATCAGAGATTAAATCGAACTTATTCATTACTGGAATCGGAGAGACGAAATGACGCCTGTTGTTGGAAGCCTGCCTTCGTGAAGCCAGTCGGCCGATCTGTCTACTCTTCACTCGATGAAAGCGAAGGTGAGTATGGGGAGGACATGGAATGTCCACACCGTGTATGAACCTAGCAAGGCTATCCAGATTGCGAAAGAGATGAGAAGGTATGGCATGCAAGTGCTCAGAATCTGCGAGGAATCTGCAGATGGAATGGAAGTGGACTCTCCAAACTGTCGACTGGATAGTCAATAATAATCTACTCCGATATTGTCAGCCAGACGACAAGCAGGAGCACAGCACACTGAGTTCAGTTATGGAGTGGCTATCATGATATCTATCCCCTTGAAGAGCATCGAAGGCCGTCATGCAATGGGAACCAATCTCCTCCTCCTGCACGATAAGCATCATGACAGCAAGATGGATTCAACTCAGAAGGCAGGAAAGTCACAATCATTCAATGCTACGCGCCAACAAATAATGCGGATGAAGAGAAGAAGCAGGAATTCTACAAACATCTACAAACAGCTGCAATTAGTACTGGACAAGACCCCATCCCAGTTGGCGACATCAAAACTCGTTCTGATGGGTGGGGTGACATGAATGTCAAACTGGGAGGGGACAAGACAGGGAGAGAAGTGATCATGGGTGGAGAAGCACTCGGTGAAATGATGATGAATGAGAATGGAGAACTGTTTGCAGACTTCTGCTTGTTCAACGATTTGGTGATTGGAGGTGAGGCAGTGTGTACAGTGTACAAGCACAAGGATATTCACAAAGCGAGCGACATGCATGTGATTTCACCAGACACCGGGACACACTGCACTAGAAATCAGGTCGACTTCATCTCAATGTGAAGAAAGTGGAGACACAGCCAGCCTACTGGACACAAGATCACATCACATCAGATCAGATCAGATGAGATGAGATGAGATGAGATGAGATAGATGAGATAGATGAGATCAGATAGATGATAGATGAGATCAGATGAAGAAGGGGAGCAGATGTAGCTAGGTTCACACCACTCACTATCTAGTGCAAGGAACCTACTCTCAAAATCAAGTTGAAAGCCTTCAAACAACCTGGTGGTGATAGACCACAGTTGAAGTTGAACACGCAGAACAGAACAGAAACCACACTGAAGGACGAGACTTCAAAGGAAATCTTCACGTCAGCCATCAGAACCGAATGGGAAACATTGAGCACCATGCCTTAAGGATCGGGCGTGGAAGAACACTGGAACTCTTTGAAAGCTATGTGGGAAGAAGCCTGCATAAGCGTGTTAGGAAGGCAGAAGAAGAAGAAGAAGAAGAAGAAGAAGAAGAAGAAGAAGAAGAAGAATGAAGGAGCAAGACAAGGAATGGATGTCGACAGACACATGGGAGCTGATAGAGTAGGGAGAGGAAGATGGTGATGGTGATGATGATGGTGATGGTGATGATGATGATGATGATGATGATGATGATGACGATGATGATGATATGATGATGATGACGGTGATGGTGATGGTGATGGTGATGTTGAGGCAGAGATGAACCAGTGCAAGGATGCACAACGAAAAGAAGAACTGAGTACAAGGTATAAAATACTACACTGGACAAAGAAGTGAAGAGGAATGCGCGCGAAGACAGAAGACACTTCCACGACACATTGGCAAGTGAAGCAGAACAGGCTGCTGGTAGGAGAGAT